GAACCCAGGGCCTTCACACTGGGCTCCACGCTCAGCTCTTTTATTTTTTCTTTTAAGGCAGGGCCTTAAAAGTCACCAAGTTGCCGGGGCTGGGCCTGACCTGTGATCCTCCTGCCTCAGCCTCCCAAAGTGCCAGGATTACCGGTGTGTGTCTCCAGGCGCAGTCAGGGCTGCATCCTTATTAATGCGGACGGGGCTCGCGGATCTCAAACCTCCAGCACCTGGGTGTCTCGGCGCCTGGCGCGGCTGCAGCCTCGCCGCCCCACTCCCCGGCACGGATGGCAGCACGAGAGCCCCGCCCTCAGCAGCGGGCCGGGCAGCGATGGGGGGGCGGGCAGGGCGCACGCGGGACGCTGCCATCCAGGGCCGCCGGCCCCAGGGCCACCCTAAGACTCCGAGGGGACGTCTTCCTCCTGCGCACTGGCCCTGGCGCGGGCCCTGGCGGGCTGGGGAGCCGGACGGACAGCGAGAAGAGCGGAGCACAGGCCGAGGGAAGGGCGCTGGGCACCTGCAGCGGCTGTCGCGGCGCCGGCCTGGCGAGGTCTTCGGGTCAGGGGGCCCTGCCGTCCCTCTGGCGTGCCGGGGGATGTGGCCCTCCTGTCGTCACAACCCCCGGGGTTCTGATGTTTTGTTATAGTAGTGAAGACACAGCCATTTCTGAAACCGCCCTGGAATTTTCAGATACATGAATCAGTCTCGAGATTTGTGAGAGTTGATTTCTGTCCCTTGGAACAGGCCTGACTGTCACCAGCACCCCCCCCCCATGCGGGTGCTCGTCAGAATCATGTGGGCAGCTTCACCCCCTTACAGCCTTCATATGAGCTGGTGCGGTGGTGCACGCCTGTCATCCCAGCACTCGGGAGGCTGAGGCAGGAGGATCACTGTGAGTTCGAGACCAGCCTGGGCTACAAAGTGAGCTCAAGGCCAGCCTGAACTGCATAGCGAGACCCTGTCTCAAAAAAGGCAAAACAAAAACAAAAACAAAAAACAAAAGCCTGCATGTGAAGTTTAACGGGATACAGAAATACAGAAAGCACACAAAACCTAAGTCCCACATAACCTCCAGGAATCTTGTCACCTTGTGACCATGTCCCCTCTCCCTTTAAAGGGACCCCACCTGTCCTTGCCCCCGCCGCTAACAGCCTGGCCTCGCCTCCCTTGGTCCTCCCAGATTGGAGCGGATAGAGAGAGAAGCCAGACTTCACCTTCTTGGAGCCAAGTTTTCATGTAAGGCTTGGGGTTGGGAAAAGCCTTCCACCACCCCGGGGCTTCCTTCTAAATTTTTTCTTTCACTTGCTATTTTTTTT